ATTCTATGCAAATCGAAAATTTATGATAATTATTGATTTTGTAATAACGACGCCACGCATCTTTGTTTTGTTTATGTATACTAAAGCTGTTTTCGTTTAAGTTGTACTTATACCAATATTAGTATTAGACCGGCTCTGGCCTTGGGTAGGTAGCTTCCTTTAAAAAACAAAATAAAAAACATCTTCTTGCAATGTAGCTACTGTAAAACTACCGTGGAATCAGCCTGTTTAGCATGGTGGGAAGACTGTATGCTAAGGTGTTGATTAAAAGAAACTGACGCAAAAAATTGGGATGTGTAAGCTGCATTTGGAAGCGTCCGAGGGAAGGTTTGAGGGAGGATACGGTTCAGGTTCAGGTCTTACATATTTTCTGGAACGGTTCAGGTTTTATCTGTGCCAAAAACCAGAAAGGCTAATGCCAGAGTGCAAAGGGTTAATTTATGACATGCACTGGTCTCGTTCTCAACGTTGAACGCTGGGTTAATTATAATTATATATTTTGATTCACAATAATAACACTATATCTTGGGGTCCATGATACAGGATTATTGAGGCATTCCACCTAGTCCTCAGTGGGACAGTATTTTTCTTTTAGTTTAAAAATTACCAGTACTATGAATTCTTGTAATACACTTATGTATGTAGTACGAGTGGCCTTGGAAGCACCACCCTCGCACAGAATACCAGCATAAATAGCAGTTAAAAGCTGCTGTGTTTCGTATGGTTTGTGTAAAGAACCGAGACCATCACTTCTGTTTTTTTTTTATGGAATGAGGTGACAAAGGATAACACCTTTCTTCATTTTCCTCGATTAAGACAAACTTTGGGTGACAACGCATCTGCAAATTTTGATACTAAATCGCAGATAGATGTGGATATTAATAAGGCCACAGCATCCACTTACTATGACGTGAATTATGTGCTCATTTGTTACTATAATTCCATTAAAAATTGTCCAAAGTTTTATTCAAACTAAAAACAGTGTGAACGAAAGAACTTCCGCGGAAATACGTGAACTTAAATGTGATGTATAGATTTTTTTTGTCTATACATACAAATAAATAAAATTGCAGTGCCTGTTTGTAATGTCAAAATAACAGCTTTTTACTAAATGCATAATATGAAAGTACATACGGTGCTTACAACCAAAACAAAATTTTTAGATTTTTGTCTGTCTGTTTGTTCCGGCTAATCTCCGAAACGGCTGGACCGTATTTGACGAGACTGTCACTGGTTGGTCACTGGCAGATAGCTGATGTTATTAGGCGTAACTTAGGCTACTCTTATTTTAGAAAAAGAATTAGGGTTCCGCGCGGGGAACAGCAAGTATTTAATTAAACTGAAGTGACAAGCGAGCTAACACTACACTTCATGGTAAGTGGCTGCTACAGTTCATTAATATCTGCAGCCAACTTCGAATAATGAACGCTACTGTTGCGTTGTAGCCTCTGAGGACTTCTTGTAAGATGGGATATCTCTCAGCATAATTATGCTATTTCATTGTACCTCTCGGACCCAAGCACAGCAGTGCTGCACTGCTATTTGTCGGTAGAAATTGGTAAAGGATAATTGGTATAATCTTTTTGAATTAGATTTAGATTTTTTAAATTAGATGGCATCCGGCCTGTCGAAAGATTTTATAAAAGAAGATTTTATCGTAACTGATAAAAAAGCCTTGTTTTACTTTAAAAACTAGTCAAGTTATACAAAGACTAAAAATTAAAGGTGTCCGGCTAAGTTGGCTGGTCTGTCCGACTTTTCGAATTTAAGACCTGGCAACCCTATACCCACAAGGATTCAGACAAAAAATAAATACTATACGAGTATAACCACCACTATAAAGAGAGACCTATATATATATATAATTTGTTTTTTAATTTTTCTTTTTTGGATAACAAACAAGAAATTTTCTAGTGCATTTCATGCATATATGATGGTTAGAATATTTTTTCTTAACATCTCTTTCTTCGCACGATCTCCCAACAAAAGTTTTGACAGTAACAGATGTTTAGTCGACAGCGAAGTCGAAGATATGTCATCTTATTAGCTTAAGAATTTTCTTCCTTCCCCTTTACTGTATACGCGTCATCGTCTATGCATTAAGATAATAAAACGATATCTGCCCTCACAATTAGTGTACGTTATCGATAATTACGATCAACTGAGGAACACTGCAGCGGGAGAACGACAGCTAGTTAGTAACGCGGGGCACAAGTGATTAGTTGTGTAAATGATAATTGCAGAAGCAATTACCTAGCATTGTGTATTCGACATCGCACTTAACATGGATTCATTAAGGGGTTACAAAATACGTGTTAAACCGTAGAATAGAATATAGTACGTGAGGGTAATATGGTTAAGATCGTTACTTTCTTGTAACTCAAAACCTACAGCCTTATTTGCATATGTGGCTTTGTGATACGATAGCTCTTCATCGGTCAATCAATTAGTAAAGGATCAAAAGGGGGATGCTTTGGGTATGTTCCAAAATAGAACCCAGTGTACTGTCCAATGCAAATGATGCTTCATTCAGCGCACACACAATTAAAAATTGTTTTATTATGGCCGGATATCCGACATAATATGGCGGCGGTATGCCAGTACAATATAGTGTCAATTGATGACGTCATTTGTATTCGGCAGTATACCTACTGGAAAGGTTTCGGAACATACCCTTTATCTACGCCATTTTGACAGTAGACATTATAGTAAACATCGTGGTTGATTTTAGCATGATGTAGTACAGTTAGTTTTTTAAATAGATTTTTCGAACTACGACTTTTTGTTTTTGTCTCTGCCCTCCTCCTTGTTTTGGTTTATAGAGCGGCAAAGATTAAGGAGACCATATTACCCTCACGTACCTTATATTACAATTAAATTGAAGAAGTGTAGCAGGAAAAAACAATACAGTTAAAATTAAGGAGTTCTATTCGCGGTTCCATAAAATAATAACACGACAGTATACAGAATATACACAAGATAATTAGATAGTGTTTGACATCGCCCTTAACCTGGATTTACTAAGGTGTTATAAATTACTTGTACAACTATAGAATACAACTGAATAAGTGTACAAGAATAAAAAAAGTAAATAGGTAAAATCGAAAAAGTATATTCGAGTTGCATATATATTATCATGAAAGTATACAGGTTGGCATCGACACCGTTAGATAACTCAGCGGTTTATCAGATTGTTGATAAAATACCTTATGTGTGCATCGCATCGCGTATGATTTAAAATCCCAAAGTCCACACTTTAGAGATTGTAAAGTACAATTACTAAAACGCTGTAGGCCACGTTGCAGCTAGATTACAGTTATAGCACGAATAAGTCAGCTCAACTGAGGAAGGATTTCGCTCTCACAATATTTCAGAACAAAATAACAGCTTAATGTTGCTGTGTTTCGTATGTTTCGTGGGTGGACCGGGGACTGGAACCGAAGACCTTTTCTTCTTGTATCGAGGCATTACATCTTAGTTCTCAGGGGTGACATATAGCTACATTTTGATTCTTAATCGAGTATGGGCGTAGATAATTACGGCACACAGCACCTACTTACCAGCAGATGGACTGTGTGCTCTTTTGTCACCCTTAATCTATAAAAATAACTTTAAACCTAAAACTCCATCTAAAATATATCTACTAACTATCTAAGAAGTTAAAAACCAACTTTAAATGATTGATATATTAATATGTACAAGTGTATGACTAAGAAAATACATCAAATAAAACAAAGTAATTACTTTTGTATCGTAGATTTCCCAGCATGCGAGCAAGTCGGGTGAGATTCCTACGAATGTTTCTTTCACCTATAAAAATTTCATCAATGAAATTGTTAATTGCAAATTTGTGTGCTGATTTTCCATATGCTCCACCAATTTTTAAACTGACTGAATTTCAATCACAAAGGCTAGTTTCAACGAGACTAGCCATATGCGCCGGACAGGGTTACAGTGCACGAATGTGAGTAAGTGCAATCTCTATTCCCTCACCCTCATAATCCGATGGGACGGCATCCAACGCGACCGGAAACAGTTCAGGCACAGGACCAACGGTTTTACTTGTTTTCAAAGACACGGACGGTGGTAGGAATATCCCTATTGCTGACTCCGGGCTACTATTTAGAATTTCTTGACAGAAGAAGCCAATAACCAATTTTGGGCCGGACCAGATTCGAACCCTGGACCCAAGATCAGTAATTCACTTACAATCACTAGACCGCTGGTCGAGGCAGTCAGAAATAAAAGACATGTGGAATCCGGTAACACGCACCGCACACACGTCGGGCTATTTGCTTCATAAACTATTTACAAATGAAAGATGGCCAGCTGTGGGATGTATATAGGTGGTAATTTTACTTTTTCTTCCATTCAAAAACCTAATAGGTAATATCTTCATCACTCAAAAATTACTTTAAATTCAAACAACGAAAAATTACTCAAATAATAACATTACATCTAATATATAAAAAAATATGTTTGTTTGTTCGTATTTTATGCAGCAAATTATTGCTTGCACTTGAGGAAAGTTTATAAACATATTACAATTATAATTTCTTATGCTTAAGCGAACACTACAAAATTAATTTAAAGTAATTTTAACGGATTATATCGTGTATATTAACTTATTTCCGGGTATCACCCAGCCCCCTCCCACCCGTGACCATGGGTGCTGTAAAGTGCTCGAATTTAAAATAAGTTAATAATATACGCGATATAATTCGCTAAAACCAGTTTCACTTAAATAGTACAATTAACTTATAGTAGGTGTCGCGCGTATCGTACGAAAGTTATATCATTCAATGAATGTAATTATCATTTCTAATTAAACAGTATAACTGTTCCAAATTGAAAAGCATATTTTTGCAATTATTTCTTCGGCAGCAGTAACGCACCGGCTACCAGTATAAATCTCGTACAAGTTAAAGATATTAAAATCTGCGGGATAAAATAAAATGTAAAATTTTCTATCTAGTTTATTGGTGTTGGGATTAGTGGTAATGGAGATAGAGGGATTGCGGCAATTGAGGAAGGGCGGCGGGGTGGGGGGTGGGGGTGCTTTAAAGTATAATGAAAGTAAATGTCCTTCCGATCGAGTTTTGGTCACGGCGGTCTGCCTCAACGGAGACAAACCATCGGCGCAGGACAGGATTATAGTGCCCAACTTCTCCCTCACTTTCATAATGGATAAACCGACACGACCGGAGACAGATCAGGTGCAAGACCAACGGCTTTACGTGCTTTCCGTGGCACGGAGGTGAGATAACCAGCCTCCTCATTCCGGGCAGCTACTGAGAATTTCTTGACGGAAAACTCAATAATTTATTTTTTAGCCCGACCCGGGATTCGAACCCAGAACCTCATGAACAGCAGTCGCACTAGTACAATCACTATACCAACGCTTCATTTTAAATTATATGAAATATATGACATATCTAATCATAATAAACAATATCTCATCATAATGAAACTATATGACTCATCATTTTATTTTATTACGCGGATCTCAGCTCATTAATTTTAATAACTTTAACATAATGGATTTCCGCTAAGTAACGCCTGGTTCATTTAATTATCTTAAGAATATAATGCTACAAAAATTAAGTGAAGTGACAGTAGTCTAAAGGTAGAGTACGACTGCAAACACAGAAAAACATGGGTTCGAATCGACCGTCGACTAGTGTTCCTAACAAGCATTATAAGCACACTCTAAGCGGTAAACGGTAGTGTTATTAATACTAAAAGTGTTACTAGTATTTTTTTTAAACTAAAAAACTAAAATATATCGAATAAACAAACATAATACAATTGCATCTGGCTACCACAACATTCAGCACCTCTTTGTCGCGGACACAAAGCCGCTCGAAAGTAACCCGGGCTAAAAGCCGTCGTCACCGGCCTCCATTATTCTTACTGAGATAGCTCGACCGCAATGGGGGTACTGATGTAGACAATCTAATGGCGGACTCACGAGAAATACTGTTTAGTATTATTTACAAGCTACCGGGACTTAATGATATCACTATACTGTTTCTATTAAATTTCGATGCTACAGTTTTAGTACGAACTTACGGAAATAAATATAATAATATACAGTTCACTTCTGCAATATACATATTACATGACGTATGCATGTGGCTATAAGGACGTGAGGGAGGTGTGTCAGGATCGTGCTAAATATAGTTTTAGTACGAACTTACGGAAATAAATATAATAATATACATTGAAGATATAATGGTTCACTTCTGCAACATACATGTTAGATGACGTATGTATGTGGATGTAAGGACGTGAGAGAGGTGTCAGAATCAAACCAAATGGAAGTGCGTAGTATCTTGTGTTTTCATGTTGTATATATATATATATATATATATATATATATATATATATATATATATATATATATATATATATATATGTGATCCCTCTGGGTGATTATAATCTAGGATATCAGAATCAGTATCAGAATTGGAATCATTTTTTTTCGTGGATTATAGGTACGATAGGTGGTTAACATAGATGCTAACTACGTATATAAGTTCAACTATGTCTTACCGTGTGGGGCATACGAAGTACAATATTTGTTGCAAATCAGTTAAAGTAGGGCTTTCAGATGTGTTGGCAACCGCAGTTTCTAATTATTATTGTATTGAGTTGTTATCAGGAAGCTATGGGAAATATCCGCGCTTATGAAGAAATCTCTTATAAAATCTGGTGAATGGCAACGTGATATAACCCATGATAAATAAGTTTCACTCATCATAATTATGACATATCAAAATCCACTGGTGAATAAAGGGATCTCCATAAATTGCCACATAGGGTGATATATGCCATATGCCAAATGAACTTATTTTTATTATTGAATTTCATGCGTTCCAGTGCTTTGCAGCACCTACGGTCACGGTGGTACTGTTTCCCGTTATCGTGTGTCCTGCACAGTTAATTCTAAACGTGATGAAATCATTAAAATCAGTAAAAAAAACAAGTTTTATTAAAAGTGAATGTCTGCGTATATGTAAGAAATTATTATTTAACAAGACATCATTGTCTACGTGATGTTTACCGCCGACTGTAGACATTAGTCTCTACAATAAAAAAAGATGAATGGACTATTGCAGTACGGGGCAGCTTAAAATATAATATATATATATATATATATATATATATATATATATATATATATATATATATATATATATATATATATATATATACAAATTCGATAAACCGCAATCTGTCAGAGCACAAAAATCATTTTTGTCGGATGAGTATACACGGTAAAAAGAAAAAAAAATATTTTAGTAAAGTTTTATTTCATAGCCACTCGAATGTCGGGGTCAATTTTGGCCAATATGGCGCATCTGTCGAGCACTTTCCGAAGTATTAAGTAATTATATAAATATATATAAATACTAAGTGAGTATAATAAAATCATATATCAATGGAAACGTTATTAAATAAGCTATCAGACTATGCATAACAGATATATATGTTATATATATGTAAGTTAAATATATCATATATATATTACAAATAGTTTGCTATCACTCGACGCTATATTATGGCGTTTGACATATGCGCATTTTATTTGAGACGCCAGAATATGGCGTTTGGACACACGAGGAGCCGTTGTGGCTTAAGGGCTAAGCGCTCGCTATAAATTTCACAGTACGCAAGCAACCCTTCGATCCCCGCCGGCATCAATAAAATTGTTAATTGCAATTTTAAGTACATTGACTAAGTGCTCGGCGGTAAAGGAAAACATCCCGGGAAAACATGCATGTTTGTGAAATTAAAAAAATAAAAATTATTTGGCTCCCTATCTGTTCACAAATTTTCATTACAATCGGTTTGGCGCTTCCGTAGATTATCCCGAATATTCAAACAGACAGTCAGAGAAATCATTTAAAATGATTATTTATGTCTAAATGGCATTCACATAGCGGGATTATTATAATACGAGGGCGGCACTGAAAATTTCGGGAATCAAGAAAGTGACACTACATTACTATTTAAAAATGTATTTATTGATTTTCGAAGTATTCTCCGCGAAATTTGACATACTTTTCCATACGATGGAACCAATCATTGAAGCAACCATTCCATTCGGAAGTTGGGGTCTCCAAAATGGCCGTTTTGTAGGCGTCCACAACTTCTTCAGGTGATGAAATTCTCTGTCCACGCAATTTATTCTTTATTTTAGGGAAAGTATAGAAATCATTAGGGCTTAGGACGGGGCTGTACGGGGGATGGTCTAATAATTCTATGTTTTCTTGATCTAAAAACTCTTTTGTTCTGTGTGCGGTGTGAGAACTCGCATTGTCATGATGGAGGATGATGCGACGGTTGCAGTTCTCTTTACGGAGTTCAGAAACGACCTGTGGCAAACAAATGCTAGCATACCATTCTGCATTAACCGTTCTTTGTCCCTCAAGAGGAATAGTCGTAACATGGCCGGTTTTGAAGACAAACGTGGCCACCATTTTTTTTTTGCAACACTCCGTGAACGAACAATTTTTATTGGCTTTAACTCATTTTCGGACACCCAAACTCGTGACTGTTTTTCATTTTCATATATCCAGGATTCGTCACCTGATACGATGTTGTATATAGCATTTGAGGATCCTGCGTGAAATCTTTCGAGAGTTCTGACGCACCAAGAAACGCAATCCGCTTTTTGCTCTTCACAGATCGAATGCATCGGGAAAACAACTTTTTTACACCTAATTGTTCATGCAAGATTATTTGTATTTGACTCAAGCCAATGTCTAAAGTTGCCTGAATTTCGCGGTATGTCACATGTCGATATTCCTCAATCAGCTTCGCACAGCATCAACGTTTTCTTGGTGACTGCAGTTTTTGGACGACCTTGATGGGGATCATCACTGAGCTTGACACGTCCACGTTGAAATTCAGCAAACCAGCGATAAATTGTGGATTTAGATGGGGCTTCATCACCAAATGCAGAAATCATCCGGTCAACACACTGTTTTTGTGTTAAACCACTTCGAAAGTCATAATAAATCATCGCTCTTGAATTTTCTCGAGTCAAATCCATTTTCTCAACGACTAAACAAGTTTGACAAAACCTTGTGACAAGGCCGAGAATCTTTTTTTAAATAAATAAATGGTATTCAATTTTTAAAACCAAGGATTTTTCAATTAAAAAGATTTTAATATGACAGGAACAGTGGAAATATTCCATTCCCGATACTTTTAGTGCAGCCTAGGTATTAGCTCAATATAAGGCACTTATACAGATACTACGGAGAGACAATTCAATTTTATTTATATCTATACACAAATAGTAGGTTTAGAGAAAAAAAATATAAATGGACGAGAAGGAACTGAATGTACAGCGGTGGTTTATACAGAATAAAGATAGCGAAGATAAAAACTTTGTATTAAAATTTATTTTTAATATCTACGTACCGCAAAACTAGAGCTTTTTTCATGCGTTAGTGTGAAAAACTTACTACTACTTACATATGGAATGTAACTGTAATGAATGTATGTTTGTTTAAGAATTTGACTGCTTTATGCCCACGTTATGGACGCGTTTACAAAATTGATAGGTATAAAATCGAACCGCACAGATTCGCATTTTTTAAAGAACACCTACTTCGATTCTTGTAATGATAAAATCGATTCCGTATACAGTTTTTATAAACATATAAGATTTTTAAATTCAATAACTTGGCAGAGGGTAATAATCATGCGAGGAATGGACTCGCCATTGGGTTAAATGGTCTAAAATAAATATCTACATATGAATGCTAGTAGACTTTTCAGCTTACGTCTAGATATCGAATAATAACCTAGATTTAATATGAATGGATATTGGATAGCGTGACTTAAACAGGTCGGTAATAAAGGCCTATTTATCCACTTCGCGTTCGAGGTGTGTACCTAAAGGATTTCGAGGGCATATTATGAAGTCCACCAACAAGCATTGAGACTCTACGACGGTTTGTTATCAAGTGCAGATACCTTCTCAAAAATGAATAGAATATAATAAAACAGAATATCTTTTATTCTGTACAAGCGATTTGCCCCGACCTTAATCTGGATTCTACAACAGCGCCACCTATTGGTTCCAAGTATGCCTATAACCTTCGCGAAAGTGCTAGCAAAACTTTGTCAACATATTATATGTTCAGAAAGTTTTACCATTAATAAACGGTATGGCCGCACATAAAATATGGATAAACAGGTATTAATTTTTATATATTTGATATATTATAAGTAATTCTTATTGAAAGTCGTTTTTTGTCACTATGACCACTGATTATAGTGACAAAAATTTTATGTTTTATAAACAAAATTCAAATGCTTGTGAAGTTCGCCAACACGCATTGGGGCAACGCGGCGGTCACTTCCTTGCTCTAAAACCCTCTCAGAAACGAGAGGAGGCCTGTGCCCAGCAGTGGGACGTATTAAGGCTGATACTTTAACTTTTAACTTTAACCACTGCTGGTTCGAAAAAAATCTCTCTCCTCGCAAGAATTAGCAAGAAACCGAGAGGGACTTTATTTTTCAAATTAAAATTTTGCAATAAAACAAGTAGGTACCTACATAGTTTGTACAACGTTACAAAACTTATTAAAGAAACAGCTTGGAAACAACTACCTCATTCCCAAGAGTTATTATCAAAAATATAATGAAACGAAGCCTATATACCCCAATCGTTCGATTATTTCGTTCTGTTTTCTTAGCATGTAGGTTCTATTTCTAGAGAGGGTAATGTAAGCAGGAAGTCGTCCATTCAATGTGAGTAACAGAATTATTAAAGACGTAAATAAGAGATGGTTTCCCCAACACCAAGCATAAAAATATTCATACATTAAAAATATATAAACCTAGTGAATTTCTCAATAAACTTAACAAAGTGATCGGACAGAATTAAACGAAACAAAATGCTCGTGCACGCGTGAAGTTGCGAACTGTCCGGTTGTGTGATTGTCCGGACTGGGTTTACCGGACCAATAGATAATGTAGCGCGGCCGTGTGGGTCGCATTGAGCCGTCCAACTGAAGTGCTATGTAACTCGTGTTGGAAATGACTCCGTGGGATAACGCTTACGATGCTTATCCCTTAATATGTAAATATAGTGTTAAGGTATAAACTCTAATACTAATGCTTACGGTTGCATGTGGCAAATAATTTCACCTAGTACTCCATTGAAAATGGCGGTACATATTACCTTTAATAATATACGGTTTAATAGGCACAAAGTCGTTGGTAAGAAGTCGCTGTTAGAAGCTGAAGTTAGAATGGGCCGACCAAATATTTTGTAGAACTGATAACAGTCACGTGAAAAAGTTCTCAAATGATCGCCACAGTGTGGAATGAAATGGGATGTCGATCTGGTAAGATACGAAGGAAATCAATGCCACCTTCATCGCTGCATATTCGGTAGCTTGAAAACAAAAGATTTTTTTTATTATTTGCCGAGATCATGGTAGTTACATATTATAGAGTTGAAGAGGATTTTGATGATGCATTTTGTAACAAGGCCTATGTTAAGTCCTTCACTAAAAAAATATAATATGACGATAGCTAAATGGGAATGCGTTTTTAATTTGCTAAATACTGTTTTAAGCATTGATGTTGGTAAAGGTAAAAAAGGTGGAATTTATAACCTATTTTAGTTTCGAAAGAAATTTAGTTGTTAGAGCCGAGCTGCTTTAGTTGTCTGCAGCATAAGTGATTCGACTCGACTGGAGGAGTACAAAGCTCTTCGAGAACACGAACGTAAAATAGAAACAGTAGGCTACTTTCGCATGATGAGTGACGAGAACCGTTATAAAGAGTTCATTTTATTTTCAGTCATGACGATACTTCAGATTTTTTTCAAATCTAGAGTAATTACGGGAAGGGAAAAATGTCCATGGTAGAGCCACTCTGCAGTTACATTATGGATGCAGCACTTTTAGTTTGGCTCGACCGGGGTAGGACCTCGCTCTCACAGAATACCAGCGTGAAATAGAAGCTTAATGCTGCTGTGTTTCGTATGGTGAGTGTAGTGAACCGGTGCCCTTTTTACTGGACACCAGGCATTCCATCTTAGTCCTTATGGGTGAAAACGCATCAGCATTTTGATTCTTAATCGAGGATAAATTTAGATTTTTATGAGCTAGGGCATCCGCTTACCATCAGGTGGACTGCGTGTTCGTCTGTCACCCTAATTCTATAAAAAATTGAAAAAATCCAATGTAACAGGAATGTTATACTCGTATAATTTGATACAGGTTATATAAGGTACACAAAAAATAAATTGTGAATTGACTACAAGTTATGACTTCACTGTTTTGTTAGTTTTGGTTTCATATACTGTAGGTGTACTGTAGCGATACACAAATAATTTATTATGTGTTAGTCAACGTATTTTCAATAACTTTTAATAGGAAGCAAAATTGTAGCCTCATCACAACTCCACCGCTGTACATACGCCTCCCGCAAAGACTGCCAATGATTTAAAGGATATCGAAAGTTCAACTCTGTTCATTTCCTTTTTCTTGTTCAGAACAAGATGACATCAAGAAATTATCTTCTCCTGTCTGTTATCGCGCATAAATTCGCAAACCGACAGCATAGATTCTAGTGGTGTTGAGGTGGCGAGTGGGCGAGTCGATCGCGCCTTCGACAAAGCGTCGGTTTGTCGAAATTATTGTCGAGTAACCTGGGCGAATAAAGTAGCAGCTTTGTGGCCGCAGATCAGGAATTAAATACTTCGTAAGTAGATATCGGATTGCAATTGTTTTGTGGTGTACAGTCAACAGCAGATATCCAATTTAAATTTAATTAAATTTTTTCCTGTTTCTAGTTCTTGCTTCGAAAAAATTTGGAACGAGGTTCATCTGATCGGAGAACAAACTTTGTCGGTGTTAAAACACTACATCTTTTACGGTAAATGTAATTTACACTGATTCATGATCTTGTGAAGTCAATCCTTGCAAAGTTATATATATTATATAATATATATATATATATATATATATATATATATATATATATATATATATATATATTATGAAAAAGATTTACCGTTTATTTACGCAAATCAATTTATATTATGAATTTAATGATAAGTCACTAATTAAACTAATAATTTTGACTGTTTTATTAATGAAAGTAAGAAATTGTTAAATAATTTACTTAATGATTTCTTATATTTACGCGAATACTACACAAGGAATAAAACTAATTTTACAGATTTTAAAGCGCTATAAGCCTAATAAAACCTATAAAATCCAAAAGTTCGTTTTATTCCAGTAATTTATTTCTTAAATCATTTCTTAGTTCAACTTAATTTTATTCATAGAATAAGAGTAACAAACGAGCACACAATCCACCTGACGATAAGTGGATGCTGTGGCACATAGACATCTACATCTATCGTCCATTAGGAATCCAAATGTAGATGCGCTGTCACCTCTTTAGGACGAAGATGATATGCCTTGCTTTATGTCGTGTCATGCTACAACCTTTTTGCATATTTCATTATGGCGCTTTTTTAAACACGATACAATACACATCACAGTGATTATCACATTTTTTTATGTTAAAGTATATGTATAATAAATTTTACTAGTGTTGCGGTATCCTTCTTATGAATACTGAAATCATAATAAGAAGTCATTATAAAAAAAGTTAAAAAAAAGAGAAAAATATTTTTCGCACTACCATAATTGAATATAAAGTATTGTTGCCCATGAACATTAATAATCCATATTTACCAAATTTTATGGAAGTCCATGCAGTAGTTAATGCGCGAATCGTGAATACACATACGGATAAACAGACAAAATAAATTTTGTAATCCAGATTCAGTAACCTATAAGGACAGATTTGTTTCGTATGATGAGGTAGACATCTGGAGGTTTTTCACTTTAAATGAGGCTTTGTATTTTAGTCCTCAAGGGTGTCAACGCATCTGCGTTTTGATTCTTAATCGAAGATAAATGTAGATGTCTATGGGCCACAGCATCCACTTACCATCAGGTGGACTGTGTGCTCTTTGGCATCCTATCCTGTAAAAAAAATTAATACACCTAGAAGCAATTTTATTAAATAACAAAGCAACCATTGAATAAAATGTACCGTCCATACCATCAAATAACATCCATTAAAGAATTACGTTAAAATTTTTAGTTTATTCGTACTTTGTCCTGAAACTACGTTATCGAGTCTTATACTAGGGCACCTACTATACTACACTATAGACGTACTATGAAAACAACCTAGGCACTGATTACCCTTTTAAAAAGCCCTAAGGCTGTACAAGTGCAACAGAGCTATAAAGTTTTAGTGCAAACAGTCTGCTTGTTTGACTGCTGAATGTAATCGCGACAGGGATAATGGTCGCCTTGTTTTAACTTGGAATAGATTTTACCGAAGATATCCTCGGTTATTATTCGCGAACGCAACAGTAAGGTTTCAACGCTATAACTGTTATAAGAGAACCGCTGAGCGATAATTTGTTTCCAGCTACTGGAACATGATGTGACAGGCTATACGCCTGTGTAGTTAATGTTTAAATCGTATATATTTTACATTCAAAGAACAAATGTTCTACATAACGTAGATTTGTAAGCGCACTCTTCTGACATTTACATTTATGTCGTTGGAACATTTTTTCCACAATATAGTAAGCTATCTTTATCAGCTAGTTATCTGCCTTTACATATATCTCTATCTATATTTAAATAATACTAGTTTTTACGGATTTTATCGTGTATATTAACCTTTGTATATACCCGACGTTTCGAGCACTTTACAGAACTCATGGTCACGGGAGAGACTGAGATCTTCAACGTCCATAGTTAACCGCGATTACCACAAATTAAAATTATTAATTTTTGTTCCGATCTACGCAGTATGAACTTATAGTATCTTGAAGTATTGCAGTTGTATGCTTGGGTTGGGATTTAATTTTATTTATTATAGGATCCCAAGCAGATGGTAGCACTCACATCTTCTCTATTGATATTAGCATGTTTTTTGATTTCAATAACTTCGCGAATCATCCTTGGAAGGAATCGGTGTTCTTTTGAGAGAATTTGTGATTTATCAAATCGAATGTAATGGGGACGATCCTGTACGAATTCATAGACTGCAGATTTCCCGAAGCGTCGATTCTTTACATCAGCTATATGTGGCCATGGTGCTGTAAAGTGCTCGAAACGTTGGGTATATAAAAAAGTTAATACAATAAAATCCGTAAAAACTAGTATTATTTAAATGTGCAATGTTCGCGTAAATATTTCTGTATTTTTTATCTACAAACGCAAACACGACCAGACTCACTCTGTGCTGAAGCGATGAGATTATATTGTCCTCCAGACGGAATTATGATCACGGTGGCCATTCTCATCAGATACCAGCCATTTGCGCAGGACAGGATTATAGTGCTTGAGTGAGCGCGTAAGTTTTCATCGCCGTTATGGGCATTTTAGTTGGATATTTGGTATCTACAAGGATGTTATACTACCATCTACCGGAAGCTATGAGGTCTATCTGGCATTTCTTACTCGACAATATAATGTGATTAATTTTTTTTATAGAATATGGATGATTTACATTTATCATCGATTAAACATCAAAATGATGATGCATTATCCCCCTGAGTATTAAGATGAAATGTCTTGTTTCCAGTAAAAAGGGTCTCCGGTTCTCTACTTTTATCATACAAAACATCGGCATTAAGCTGATATTTAACGCTGGTTTTCTGTGAGAGCGTGGTACTACCCCGGTCGAGCCGACCCATTCGTGCTACAACCATAATATAGCTGTAGCGTGGCTCTACCACGTAAAAACGTGGTATTGTAATTGATTATCTTATGCTGCCACTACACGTCTCCCATACCAATAAATTCAACACTTTATTGCGTGTCGATCGCTTCAAATTACTCTTATTTCAATTGCAAATCGTACTGTGCATTTAACACAAACCAACGAACAGCGATACCATTTTAATGATTCATTGTTCATTAAATTAGACATAAATCGCCACCGAACGTCGTACATTGCCACCGAACGTCGTACATTAAAAATTAAGTTTAAAAACTCGTTCGATACTTGGAAACGCGTCCTCAATATTGTAAACAAGACACTCGATATCTCCCGAAGAAGCAATAACCAGATACATGGTAACAAGATTTGCAGTAACACGAAAATCAGAGCACTCTCGGTTTACTCGATGGAGCCAATGCGCTTATAAGACGGATATTTTATTATTACAACATTTATCATAATATGTAAATGATAGTTCGAGATTTCTTTATAGAATAAGAGTGATAAACGAGGGCACAGTCTACCTGATGGTAAGTGAAATGTGACCCATAGACATCTACATTTATTCTCAATTTAGAATCAAAATGTCGTTGTCACCACCCAGGAAGAAGATAGAATGTTTCGTTTCCAGTAAAAAGGTCTTCGGTCCTCTACAGCAACCATAAGAAACACAACCGTAGCATTAAGCTTCTATTTTACGCTGATATTATGTGAAAGCGAACTCTTACACCCGGTCGAACTGACCCATTCGTGCTACAACCATAATATAGCTGCAGCGTGGCCCTACCACATACTCCTATGTACCAATAGCAAACAGTTAAACGAGATCTTATTCTGAATATTTAAGGGTCATAATACACATTATTTTGACACAACTGGCAACGTAATATAAACTGTCACATCTATTGATAGGTTTACAACAATAATTAATAGAATTAGGCGTTACTTTGCTGAACACACGGAGCAAATATTTTTTTTTTCTTTATATTTGCTTCGCGGCTGAACACATGCTATGTCACAAACACTCACCTCTGAACAAATACGCAAAATTTCTTTAACTTTTAAAGTCTACTAATCCAATTAACAACTTAAATGCAAATATTCTGCCAGCCATTAATGCAAAATCCGTTAATAGTAATTGATAAAACAAATAAAGGTCGAGTGTTACTATAACTTATGATTAAAGCCATTAAAAGTACATTAATGAATTGTACTTTTCATTTAAATGAGCTCATGTGTAATGTGTAAGTTGCCTAAAATTAGACATGTCTTAAATTAGGAACATCATATTAGGATACCTTCATACTTGCATAGAAAAAGTGTATTATTTTGTTAAATTACCTATATTATAGAATAGCGATAAGCAATTATTTATGCTAAAATATTTACAGATTTAAAATATAATGCATAATCTTATTTATTATCAGGTAAAATTACCTTCTTACCTGTCATATTTTACAAAAAATACGAAAAGTGACAGTTATATCTCATATATAGCACTTTAACGCTACTTTCAGACGAACTTCTATGCAGGAAAGAATCTCACCACACCGGAAACTGTTACAATGTGCTAATAATTATTCTGACCAATCACGTTATCCCTAAAACTACACCCGATTGACTTGAAACTTTGTACAGTTACTCATTTCACAATGTAGACGAGCACTAAGAGCGGATTTAACGATAGTCACATAAAAAAAATTGTTGACCCTGCAGAACATCCTTGAAACTTCCCGCTATTTTTTTTCATCTGTTTATGACGTTTCTGAGCTCTTCGAGCTCATTCGAGCTGATTCATTAATTATAATATTGAACAAATTATTGGTACACGTTGTTTTTTTATTATTTTTTCAAAATTGAATATTACGCGAACAATTCAACCGACTTTGATTGATTTACAATCGACACATTTTTTTGCTTAACAAAAAATCTATTACATAAAAAATTTATTTGAAGGAAATTTTTCAAGTGATTTTGAAAAAACACTTTTTCAAGAACTTTCAACAACGAATATATCTTTCGAACTAATCAACCGTTTTTAATGCGGTTCACGGCAATTGATGTCGTTTTTGGGAGTAAAAGAGCTGATTAGATGATAGAACAACAACAACAAC